AAGAGAAGGAGGAGGGGAAAAGAAGACGACGAATGAGGAGGAAGCGGAGAAGAACGTGGGGAAGGAGGAGAAGGACAGCAAGAGAGGAAGAGAAAGTGAAAAGAAAATTAGAGGAGGAGGAAGACATGCATTTAAAAAATCTTTTCAGGGCCGGCCGAGTGGCTCAGTTGGTTAAGAGCTCGCTCAAGAGTTTGAGCTCTGAGCAACAGTGGTTCAAGTCCTGGCCTGAGCTGAGCTGCTGCTGAGCTGCCAACAGGTGGCAGGATGGCTCAGCTAAAAATAAATAAATAAATAAAATAAAAAATCTTTTTGTTTTGAGGTAATTATAGATAAATATGCAATTGTAAAAAGTAATGCAGAGATCCCTATAACCTTCACCTAGTTTTCCCCGGTGGTAATATCTTACATAAGTATAGCACATCCTCACAGCCAGAAACTGACAGTGATACAATGCGTGGACATTACTCAGATTTCACCAGTTTTGCACACCCTCATTTGTGTATGCGTGTTTAGTTCTATGCAATTTTATCATGTGTAAATTCATGTCACCACCACCACTGTCAAGATCCAGAAGTTTCATCACAAGGATCCTTTTTACAGACATACCCACCTTGCCCCCACCTCTGACAAGCACTCATCTGTTCTCTATTTCTGTAAGCTTGTCATTTCAAGAATGTAACATGAATGGAGTCACATAGTACATAACCTTTTAAGATTGTTTTTTTTTCACTCAGTGTCATTCCCTGGAGATTCGTCCAAGTAGTTACATGTATCGCTAGTTCATTCCTTTTCACTGCAGTGTAGTGTTCCATGGTATACATACTCGTATAAGTATACCACAGTTTGACTAACCATTCACCTGTTGAATGACATCTAGGCTCTTTCCAGATTTTAGCTATGACAAAGTTGCTATGAACATTGAAGTTAACGTTTTTGTGTGAATATAGGTTTTCATTTCTCTGAGATAGATGCCCAAGAGTGCAATCTCTGGGTTGTATAGTAATTGTATGTTTAGTTTTGTAAGAAATTGCCAAACTGCTTTCTAGAATGGCTGTACCGCCTTACATTCCCAGCAGCAATACATGAGTGATTCAGTTTCTCTGCATCCTCGCCAGCATTTGGTGTTGTCACTATTTGTTTCCTAGCCATTCTGGTACGTGTGTCATTGTGATTTTAACTTGCATTTCCTTAATGGCTAATACTATTTAACATCTTTTCATGCATTTATTTACCAGCTGTATATCCTCTTCAGTGAAATGTCTGTTCATGTCTTTTCTAATTGGATAGCTTTGGTTTTTATTACCATTGATGTGGAGAATTCTTTATATATTCTGGAAAATTAGCTCTTTGTCAAATATGTGATTTGCAAATATTTTCTCTCCATCTATAGCTTGACTTTTCATCCTCTTTGCAGGATCTTTCACAGAGTGAGTATTTTAAATTCTGAGTCAGCCAAATTTATCAATTTTTCTTTTTATAGACTGTGCTTTTGGTGTTAAGCCACGAGCGTTTTTCCCAACAGTAGGTCTAGAATATGTTCTCCCATTTTTTCCCTAAAAGTTTTATAGTTTCACATTTTACATTTAAGGCCACGATTCATTTTGAATTAATCTTTGGATAAGGTGTGAGGTTTAGGTTAGTACATTTATTGTTTATGTGTGTTCATTTAGGTGTGTTCTTAAAGGTTCATCTTTACAGCAACCCTTTGAACGGGGTATTATATTATCATCCCATTTTACAGGTGGAGAAACCCAGAGAGACTTGGTGATGTGACCAAGGCCCAACAGCTGATACGTGGTGGGGAAGAAACCCAGGTGTGAATGCAGCTCTAACTGACTCACATGCTCTGCATTTAAGCCCCGCTCCTCCTGCCTCATGCCACCCCTTTCTGTCTGCAAGAGTCTTGCTTCCTGGGCAGATGGATGTTCCTGTTTCCTATACACATTCTGTTGTCTTGACCAACCTGGCCTTCGCCGTAACACACAGACTACTAAAGGCTGGAGCCTGCCAGAACTTGTCCATGTGACTTGTGTCATGGTTGCAGGGTGGAGAATGGGGACAGATTGGGGAGTTTCCCTGGGTGCAGAGAGCTTGTCATTCCAGGTTTGGGGAAAGGCTCACATTGGGTTTCAGCATCTTCCAGAGTATTGCAGAACTGCTTTACCAGCACACTGGTTTGGAGGTGGCAGGTTGAAAATTTTAGGCTTTTAGGCTCCCCCCAAACAATCACACACACACACACACACACACACACACACACACACACACAGACACTTCATTTATTAAGTCCAAGTCCAGAAAATTTCCATCCTGAGGTGCCAAAATAAAATGCATTGATAGAGGTCAGTAGAAAGATCTCCGAGCATCTTGGGGCAAAATTCCTATGACTAGAACATGTTTCTTGCCTCTTTCAGTGGATTTGGGTCACGGTCAGACTATACCTACTTCATTCATTCCCACTCAGCCATACCCACTCCCATTCATTCATACCTAGTCCCATTCATGGGTAGGAGTGGCAGAAGGTGGCGCTTTCCTCTCCAACTCTCTCCTCTCTACCCACTGGCTGTGGACTTCCCAGCCAGGCAGGACATAGGAACTTCTGCACTCAGGCCACTAGAAAGAAGTTAGCAGCCTCTGAGTTGATCTTACACATTCCCAAATCCCTAAGCCTCACTCCACTTACTAATGAGGGATCTAGGAGATTTTGCCTCTGTGACCTTACATTCAGGAAGGTCACCTCCTTCTACAACTTCTCCAAGCTTATCCAAAGACTGCTAGGCTTTTATCCTGGTCCACTAAGGAGGGACAGAGGGAGTAGAATGAGCCCAGTCTAATGAGTCCAGTTGCTACAGGTATAGGCATATATCTATTTGGCCAGATTCTTCAGAAGCCTCAGGGTTGCTTGAACCCATAGCTTGTCTGTTTCAACAGCGTCGCACCCAGGTCCTCTCTGTCCCTCCACTTGCACCCTGTAGAGTTCACCTTGCCCAACTCCATTCTCACCCACCCTGCAGATCTCCCTGACGGTGATCATCTTCGGAGCTTCCTTGGAGGGCAGGGGTAAGACTTGTCAGGGCAGGCAGGGCTGCTCCAGGAGCAATGTGTTTTGTCATGCCCTGTCTTGCTCCAGCCAGAGCATATATTATCTTTGGGGTATGTCTCCTGCTTCAGATTCACATTCCATCACCTCCACCCTCTTTCAGGGAGCATGATTCTATTCCACCCCCCCTCCCCCATATTCTTAAAAGGCTGCCCCTTAGTCCTCTATGCCTAACCCTTTCCATAGTAAGCAAACAGATCTGGGTTAGAATCTCAACTATCACTTACTAGCTATATGGCCATTCACGGCTTACTGCTTTCAAGCCCAGTTTCCTCATCTGTAAATAGGGAGATGTTGACCTCATAGCACTGCCATGGATTTATTTTTTTTTTTTTATTTATTTTTTTTTAAAGATTTTTTTATTGGAGAATTGGGGGGTTGGGAACAGTGCTGGGGAATTGGGGGAAGGGGAACAGACAAGTCACTGTCGTTTTGTTCTTCAGTCTAGTTGTGGAGGACGTTGCTTCACTGGCCCAAGTTGGCACCATCATTGCGCTCTTCCCGGGCGAGGCAGATCAGTCGCCAGCTTCTGGACGGCCGCTCACTGCGGCTGCTGGCCGCTCACGCTGGCTGCTGGCTACACACGGTAGCCCATGGCAACCCACTGCAGAAGGGGCTGCAGCCTACGCCGTAGCCAGCGACTCACAGCAGCCCAGGTCGAGCTGTTGTTCAGCATCTTAGCTGTAGAGGGCAGTGTCACTGGCCCTCATATGTGGGATCCGAACCGGGGCCCTCTGGTGTCCCAAGCCAGTTCTTAACCATCGCGCCACTCAGCCGGCCCGCTGCCATGGATTTAAACAAGATCATGTCTGTAAAGTATGTACAGTAGGCAAAGTAGCGACTGATTCTGGGACAAAGTGAACGCTCGGTCGTGGCTGTCACTGGCCCCTTTGACAACTGTCTCTGAGCCAGTCTCCCATCCTTACTCTGCCAGAATTCATCCTGGAGGTGGCATGTCAATTGTTATGGAAAGAGCAAGTGCTCAGCTCCCATCTGGAGTCTCTGCTCACCTATCACGCCCACACTGTTCTCGGGAGTCTGGTAGGAGCCATGCTCCAGCTGTTCCCTGAGCCTCATCTCTGGTCCCTGCAAGAAGCCACACCAACAAGCCAAGGAGAACACCTCCCACACCGTCAAACCCAGGCCAGGTGCTGAGGTTGGGGCTGAAGGCGGGGCCAGGACGGGGAGCGCCCTGCAGACAGGTGCCCAGCCTGTCACCCCGCTGTTCCTGCTGACCTCTCCTTGGTGGCTTTTGGCACACCAAGACTGTGTGACAAACAAACAAACTCCAGCAACAAAAGAAGCCAGTCGTGCCAACAGACTCAGCCCAAAAAATCCCCACTGCAACTTTTTTTACTTCGTATTTGCAAGGGGGAGGGGAACACGCCACGGCAGTCAACAACAGAGACCCCTAGCACAGTCCTGAGTCCTTCAGAAACCCTCTGTACATATGAGATGCATGAATAAATAAATAAACTTCCCCTTACAGTTGGATCTAAATCAAATAGGCCAACTTCTCTGCCAGACTCCTGCTTCCAACTTCAGGGCAGCTTCTGCTCCCTGCACCACCCCTAACTCAAGGGGTGAGAGCAGGGGGTGGAAATCACAGGCTGAGACAGAGGAGGGATGCTGGAGCTAGAATGGGGGTTCTCGGGGGGTGCTTGGGAGGGACTTAACCTCTTTCTGGCGCCCAGTACCCCCATCACTGCCAGGAGCCTCAGGGCTCAGGTTTGGGTGTTCCCCGCCCTCGCAAGCAGGCTAGGCTCCTCCTCGCGCAGAATGAGGGAGAGCCGCCTCTGCTCCCCATCCCCACCCTCCCGGGACCTGAAGAGCAGGAAGTGGTGGCCGCTCCTGGAGTGCAGGGGGCCTGGAGGCGCTGCGGGCCAGACCGTGCAACCCCATGGCCATGGGCACGGAGCAGCGACTGGGCAGCCTCACCGTCTTCACCCGCGACGACTTCGAGGGCGACTGGCGCCTAGTGGCCAGCGGAGGCTTCGGCCAGGTGTTTCAGGCGCGGCACAAGCGTTGGCGGACCGAGTACGCCATCAAGTGCTCCCCCTGCCTCCTGCCAGACGCCACCAGGTACCTGTCTGCCCCGCCCCTCTCCTTTTACAGATGAGAAACCGAGCGCAGGGAGCTTCCGAGGGAGGGGGCCCTCGAAGTTGAGGCTTAGGATTGTCCCCTTAAGCGTTTCTAAACTCTACCCTGTGGCCTGAGCTCCCCAAGCACAGCCTGTCTGTTTCTGTACCTGAAATCCAGTTGATAAACCGCACCTGTCTGTAGAAGCCACAGAGGTCACAGGTGATCAGGAACGTCTCTCCAAGACACCTCCCAAACTAGTCCTACCTCCTTTCCAGCACCTCCTTCCTTCTGGGTGTCAGGGTGGTAGGACTGATCTTGGTGGCCCTCTGCCACCCGTATAACCACACCCAAACTCTCAGGGCAGGCAGGATTGGGCTGGCTGGAAGGTTGTGGCACTTGGCTCAATGATGCTCAATGGCCTGTGGAGAACCATTCTCCCTTCCCATGGCCGTCTGAGGTGGTCTCTGCCCAGGCTCGCAGGCTGGGGGAGACTTAGGGGATGCAGGCTGCTGGCCTTAGATCCTGTCCATGCCACTTGCTGGCTCTCACATAGGGCCTGCTGGGAGGTCAAGCCTGAAATGCTCAGTCTCTGTCCTTATTTTTGTCTGACTCCTCCCCGCCTCTCATCGTGTGCTCCTGTTTCCTACTGTTTCCGACTATCTCTAACTTCCCTTTGAAATGGACTCCAGTCTCTTTCCCACCGGATTTGCTGGTACTGGCTGTGCACTTGCCCCTGTGCAGCCATGAAGGAGACACTTGGGATGTGAAGTCTCAGCATGATAACCACGTCCTCCTCCCAAGGCTCTTGGGACTTCAACTAGAGGACCTGGGAGGGTACAACTCCTATTGGCATCTTATTTGGATGTTCTTTGTTGTGCTCTCTGAGGCTGTCTCAGATCCCACACACTCAAGCCAGTCCTTTCTCTAATTCGCAGACCCCCACCTGATTCGAATAAGGGCAAAGGGAGATAACCCCAAACTGCCCCCCCACCTGCCTCCCTCAACACCCTCCAGCTGGCTTTGGAGTAGAGACAGATTATACTAGGACTTGTCCAAATCAACTACAGCCTTTCATGTAAAGAGCAAAAGGAAACAGACAGCATTGACAAGACTACACTGTTAGACATTTACAATATCTTCTGCCACTTGCCCTTCCTAAGTCCTGGGAACTCCCTGTGTGGAAAGGGCTAAGGGATTTAATGGTAATGAGTGCCTGCTGTGCGTGGAGTACTACACTAGGAGTTTTACATGTATTACTTCATTGGATCCTTCTTCCATCTCCTCATTCACCCATTCATCCTCTTTCATTGGCAAGTGCTTATTACCCTTCTACTATGTGTCATGTGCTACGCTAGACCCTGATTTATAATGATGCATGCAACAGATATGGCCCTGTTCTCCTGAAGCTTACAGCTTGGGGGAGAAAGGCATTAATCAGCTAACCCCACATGTAAATGTGTGTTACTGTGAGAAGTATTACAAGAAAGGAGAGATTTATGGTTCTGTGAGAGCTTATTACTAGAGCTCGACTGAGATCAGAAAAGGCTTTCCTGAGGAAGTTACACTTGAGCTGAAATGTGGATGAGTATGAGTTACAGGTGAAGAGGAGAAAAGTTTCCAGTGAGAGAGCAGAATGTGCAAGGGCCCATGGCAGATGGGGCTTACTAAGCAAAGGATGAAAAGAAGGCTGTTGTAGCTGGAGTTGAGAGACAGGGAGCAGTGGGAAGCTCTGAGGGCGTTGCAACCAGGTGGAGGGGAGGTGATGACAGAGGGGAATTGATCAGCATTGCAGTGTGGAGAATGGACTGGAAGAGTAGAGTGGGTGCTGGTTCAGTGAGGGGACTGTTGTCATCATTCAAGCAAGAGATAGAGTCTTGACTGGCGTGTCGGTGATAGAGGGAAATGAACAGATAACACAATAGTTAGGAGGGAAAACTCCACTCAACTTGTTGCTGGACGGGCTGTGGGGCCACGATGAGGAGGAGAGACTGCCAAGGTTAACTTTATGTCTGGCTTGCCCAGAGGAACAAGGGTCCACTGCATTGTCGATTCTGTGAGAGCAGAGTCTGTGTCTGTTTCGTTCACTGCTCTAGCCCCAGTGCCTGGCACGTAGTTGGTGTTCAATAAATATTTGTTGAATGATACTGTTGGCAATTAATAAATGGAGCACGAGAAGAGGTCCAGGTTTGGAGAGGAAGATCATGAGTTCAGTTTTGTACACGTTGAGAAGAACTATCGTGTAGGCTTCAGAATAAAGGACTGAGCTAATGATATTAAAATTTGTGAGTCATTTGTTACACGTAATTGAAGCTAAGGTGTGAATAATGTTCATTCATTCATTCCAAGCAGCAAGTGAACAAAACAAAGTCTTTCCTTCATGGAGTTTATAATCTAATGGAGTAACACAATAAATAAATAAATAAATAAATAAATAAATAAATAAATAAATTTGTCTTTAGTGCTTTTACCTACCTGCTATTTTCTTGATTAAAATGCCTAAGGAGAGTTGAATGCTCTGATCTTCCAAGAACACATTTGATCTAGAAATATTAATTTGTTGGTCATCTGTGTATGGGGGTTGAAGGATTACTGGAGTTGGGGTAAGGCTGCTATTTTATATAGACTTGAAATCCTTACTAATTGGGTACCATTTGAGTAGAGATTTGAAACAAAGAAGGAGCAAGCCAGGTGGCTCTTAGGGAGGAGTGTTCCAGGCAGAGGGAACAGCAAGTGCAAAGGTCCTGAGGTGGGAACATGCTTGACATAGTAGGGGAGCTGCAGGAGGCCAGTTTGGCAAGAACAGAGTCAGGGAGGGAGTGATGAGTAGGAAATGAGATCAGGAAGCTATGCCCAGGGGGGGATCATGTAGGGCTTTGTAGACCATTGTAAGAGCTTTGCCTTTTACCATGACTGAGAAGAGAGCCACTGAAGGGTCCTGAGCAGAGGTGAGATACACTGACTTACATTTTAAAAGTATCACTCTGGCTGCTGGGTTGAGACTAGATGGTGGAAGACAAAGGAGAGAAGCAGAGGGGCCAATTAGGAGGCTTGGGCCAAGGTGCCAAAGAGTAGAGGTGGTGAAAAGTGGTCAGAATCTTGCTAGATTTTAAAGGTAGAGCTGACACCATGTGCTGAGGGAGTTGCGTGCGGGAAGGAGAGGAAGAAAGGATTCAAGGATGACATCCAGACCTTTGAGGACGAGGAGGATGGACGCCCCATTCACTGAGATGAGGAAGGCTGAGGGAGGAGCAGTTTTCAGAGGAGAATCAAGAGTTCAGCTTTAGACACATTAAGTGTCAAATACCCAATTGGAGATGCTGCAATTGCCTAGAGACAGAATCTATAGAGTGAGAAGATGAACAGAGAGGGCCTGGGACTGGGCCTAGTGGTCAAGTGGCAGAATAGGAGCCCGCAAAGGAAACAAACAGAGGAAATGACTCGGAAGAGAGGGGGAGAAATCCTGGAAAATGTTGGCACATAGCTGAGGACAGTGAATATTTCAAGAAAAAAAGAGTGAGAGATCTGACCTGCAAACCAAGGACTGAAAATTGTTCATAGGCTAGAACACTATGGGAGTTGCTGGTTACCTTAGCAACCGCTGTTCAGTGAAGTCCTGAGACCAGAAACCAGATGAAAGGAGGTAGTGGGAGATGAGGAAAAGAGAGAGGCAACAGGCATAGCAAACGCTTTCAAGCGTCTGGTTATCAAGGGGAAATTGTGTAATTACTAGTGTTCCCATTTCACAGTTAAGAAACTGTGGCCCAGAGAAGTTACTTGCCAAAGGTCATACAGAGAATAAGTGGTGAAGTTGGGATTTGAAATCCGGCCAGAGTGCCTTCAGATCCCTTGTTTTTTTTCCACTTCATGACAGATGTGTCAGTTACTGTGAAGTCAAAGGGACACAAGGAGACATACAAAACATTTTGCAGAGGTGGAGGGGCGCTATCTGGAGCAGTGGAGAAGTAGAGAAGAAAACCCAGACTAGCCAACCTGCCCAGATGCAAGGGAGAGCAGGTGTCTTTTCTTGGAGGTCAGGAGTGTCTGGCTGACTTCCCAAGGAGGCCCTGTGAGCACATTTCCAGCAGCTTCTGACTGCAGTGCCAACACAGCTTTGCAAATACTGTGCTTTTAAAAATGTCATTCCTCCCTAATCCTCATCCCCACAATCCCCAAACAATCTGTAACAATTTGCATATTTACTGTTCTCTGGGCACATACAGTGAAAAGAGCAAGAGGGTTTGCAAATGATTATTTTGCAAGACTTTCCCCTTAAGCCTTGACTTCTGTTCGATTCAACAAAGATGTATTGTGCTGTGCATAGTAATGTGCTGTGGAAAGTAGCAAGATGGATAATTATAGTCATCCATAAAATGGAATACCATGTAGTCATTACTGTCCTTGGTTCAGGAGGATGTAAGGAAGTGCTCAGGCTATACTAACAGGGAAAAACAGACCACAAAACAGCCCACACTGTGTGATGGAAAGGGAGAGAGTGGATGAAAGAGTGAATGGAAGGGAGAAAGGGAGAGAGATACCTTGGAAATGTATTGTAAAAGAATATACTAAAATATTAACAGGGGCCAACTCCAGAAGATTAGATTTACTGACAATTTAATTTTCTTCTTTATAGCTGTCTGTATTCTCTAGATTTTTCTACAAGGTATATGTATTATTTTCATAATCAAATGGCGATAAATGGTATTTTAAAACAGAAGGTGGAGGCATGATATTGGTCCTCTAGGGGCTTGCAATCTACTGGAGGAGGTAAACATATAGACAAACAGCCAGAATAAATGGCAGGTTTTTTGTGGCCACTTCTATAGAATGGGCTTGCTCCTAGATTTGCAAACTCCTTTACTTCCTGTCTTATTGCTGCTGGCCATCGGGACCCTAACCTGTACATCCTGCTGGGTATCCTTTCATGTCTCTCTTTCCTCCTCTACTACCTCGCAAGCTCCCAAGGCTTCTCTGGGTCGCCACAGCCTGGCATCAAGCCTAGTTTGTGTGTTCTGCTAGTGGCTCTTATAATTAACGGTCACTTCCTTCCATCTCTCGCTCCCGCCCCCTCTATAGCTCCCATGTGAATTGCCTCATTGAAGAAGCAACCAAAATGGAGAAGATGAAGTTTCAGCACATTGTATCCATCTACGGGGTGTGCACGCAGCCCCTGGGCATTGTGATGGAATTCATGGCCAACGGCTCCCTGGAGAAGATGCTGCCCACCCACAGCCTCTGCTGGTATCTCAAGTTCCGAATCATCCACGAGACCAGCCTGGCCATGAACTTCCTTCACAGCATTAAGCCTCCTTTGCTCCACCTGGACCTCAAGCCAGGCAACATCCTCCTGGACAGCAACATGCATGTCAAGGTAAGGGCCCTGGTCAACCTCTCCGCCCCCTTTTCACTCTGAAGCCTCCTCCAGGTGAACAGGATTATCTACCTGCCTGACTGGCCTGTCAAGAATTTTATGCAGCTCCCTTCATGGACAAAGACTGAAGGCAGGGATCACACCTAACACAGAGGTAGAACAGCAGTGAAATTTGACGCATGAGGCTGGGTATTAGGATGCCTGCAATAACCTCTTTGGACCTCAACCTTCCACTTCTAATGTGGGTAGATTAATCCCTAACCCTCCTAGTCTTTGCTTCAGGTGAGGATGTGTGTGAAATGACCCCTAAGAAAGGTCACTTTTTTCATGCCACATCTTTTTGGTGCCCCAGGCTTTTACATATTCTGTTCCCGCTGCAAGGAACACCCTCACCCCTTCTTTATGTAGCAAAGACCTTCTCATCTTTTGCTCTTGGCTTAAACATCACCTCCTCAGGGAGGTCTTCTCTGATCCACCCCACAAGTCCCTGTTGCATACTCTCATTGTACCCTTGTCTCTTTACATTGCTAACCCCAACTGTAAGTATATAGTCAGATGTGAAACTATTTCATTAGTGACTGTACCTTTAGCTGAATAAGCACTTAGGACAGTAATGGGCATGATGGGGGGGTGTCATCTTTTCTATCTGCTTCCTGGTCCTCAGTCCTCAGTCCCCAGCCTAGCTGGCACTCAATGAATGGTCAAGCGGTGCATAAACGAACCAATGGATGGAAGCAAAGAGGGGATGACTATCCATGATGTAACTGCTTCAGGGCCTGCGGAGGTGGGATGGACAGAAGCTCACCAAAGATAGCAACTTTAGCCATACTCCCTCTGGATACAGACAACATCTACCAAGTACTTACTATGTGCCAGGCATTGTTGTAAGTGAATTGTGCATATTTACTCATTTAATGCAGACAATAGTGCTATGAGTTAAGTACTCATGTTAGTTCAGTTTTATAGATGAGGAAACAGGCTCTGAGACAATAAGTAACTTGTCCAAGGTCATACAGGTCGTGCATGGTAGAGCTGGGAGAGAGCCCATGTTCAACCGCTACACTGTACTGGAAAAGGTTGGCAAACCAAGGCAATTTTCTGGAGGTAAGACTGTTGCCACCTGTCCCCGCCTCTGCCTTCCTCCCAGGTTTCGGACTTTGGCCTGTCCAAGTGGATGGAACAGTCAACCCGGATGCAGTACATCGAGAGGTCAGCTCTGCGAGGCACCCTCAGCTACATCCCCCCCGAGATGTTCCTGGAGAGTAACAAGGCCCCAGGGCCCAAATATGATGTGTACAGGTGAGAGGGAGGCTGGGCTCCATCCCCATACTCGGGAGGTAGCTTGTCGTCACCACCCTGCCTGGATCCCATGACTCAAAAGGCAGGGCAGGACGGGGATGAGGTCGGGCCCATCCCTGCCCACGTGGAAGGGGGAGGTATGGAGGGGGACCCTGGCCGGAGAGGCTTTGCCTGGGATTGTGTGGTCTCTGGGGGCCCCCCTGACCGGTGACCATGGATATCTGAGAAAGTCACTCAGGGAGCAATTTTCCCCTGTCTGCAGCTTCGGGATTGTCATCTGGGAAATCCTCATTCAGAAGAAACCATATTCAGGTAGCAGACAGCGGTGGTCCCCTCAGATGGGGTTCTGGGAGGGGCTGTGGAGAGGGCTGAGGGTTTGTGGGGGCAAGACAAGTAGCTGGTTTGTATTGGGGGATCCATCTTCTCTTCAGGGGTTCCCATCACACCCTCTTTCCTTCCTCCCCCTTCTTTCTAAAGCTCGCCTTATAGTAAAAAGCTGGGCAAACGTCAGCCCAGACTAGGCTTTCTGGCTCTAATTCCTCTGCTTTCAATACACTTCTTCCTGCATCTCCCATCCCCACCCCGGCACATATGAGGTCTGACAATTAAGTTTATGAATTTGTTGCAGCAATGTTGCTAACCTTTTTTTTTTTACATCAGAGGGATTATTCATTATGAATTTGTACCAACTGGACAAACAGTTAACCAAGTTTACTATTTGGAAGTGCTGAAAAGGCTGCGTGAAACAGTTAGACAACCTGAACTTTTCACCAACAATTCATGGCTCTTGCATCACGACAATGCACCAGCTCACACAGCACTGTCTGTGAGGGAGTTTTTAGCCAGTAAACAAATAACTGTATTGGAACACCCTCCCTACTCACCTGATCTGGCCCCCAATGACTTCTTTCTTTACCTGAAGATAAAGGAAATATTGAAAGGAAGACATTTTGATGACATTCAGGATATCAAAGGTCATACAACAACAGTTCTGATGGCCATTCCAGAAAAAGAGTTCCCAAATTGCTTTGAAGGGTGGAGTAGGCACTGGCATCAGTACAGAGCTTCCCAAGGGGAGCACTTTGAAGGTGGCCCTAGTGATATTCAGCAAGGAGGTATGTAGCACTTTTTATAGGATGAGTTCGCGAACTTAATTGTCTGACCTCATAGACTGTCAGGAAACTGGGATAACTCAACAAAGTTGAAAGTCAAGTCTGTTACTAGGCCTGTTGGTCAGTCCTGCTATCGTTGGACAGCAACAGCCTGCAGGGTAGGGTCATTTCTGGTCTTGGCCTGGGAAGCGGCTGGAGCTGGACCAGAGACTCAGTTTGCTCAAATCAGAACCTCAGGTGGGCCTGCCATCTAGCTATTTACTCACCATGCATTTATGGAACCCTTGTTGCCAATCCTCAGAGCCCCCACCTCCTGGTCAGCCTTTCTGCTCCCCCCAACCCCCACCCATTAGCACCCTCACAGCCTGGGCCTCCTCTCACAGGCCTCAACATGATGACCATCATCATCCGAGTGGGTACAGGCATAAGGCCCTCCCTGCAGTCTGTCTCTGATGAGTGGCCAGGCGAGGCCCAGCAGATGGTGGATCTGATGAGGCGCTGTTGGGACCAGGACCCAAAGAAGAGGCCCTGCTTTCCAGGTTCTCATCCAGCTCTACCCGCCCAGGGACTGGGGAGTGGGGTGGGGCGGGGCGGGTATGAAGGAGCCAGGAGAGGAGATAATGAAGGGCTTTGCAGACAGAAGCCTGCATGGCACTGGGGTAGGTGGTAGCAGGGGCAGTGGCAGCCTAGGACTGCGGTGGTCTGGCCTCTGGGGGTTGATGTGTTCCCCTGTGGGAGGTGAGTCCAAGCCCTTGTTGAGGGAAGGCAGCTGGGCCTGGCTCTGCTGCTGCTGAGTTCTCCAGTTACCACACCGTCCTCATCTGTAAAATGGTCCCAGACCGTGAGATCCCAGGCATGGATGGACCTTGGGGTTACCCACTCTTTCAGGGTCTATGACAGCATGCATAGATGTGTAAGTGTGAGCATCTTAGAGATCATCCAGTCCTTCCCCCCATTTTATGAAAAAGGACTGGCCCTCAGAGGGTCAGTGACTTGCCAAATGTGGCCCCACTGAGCCCAGGCTGGGAGCCATCTTTCCTGCCTCCTGGTGCACATGTATGGATGTGTGTGAGCCCAGAAATAGATTTCAGGGAGGGAACACAGGAATTGTAGGGTATCTAAAATGGGGGAGGCACTGCTGGCCAGCCTTTTGCTGCTTTTCCTCTCTCTCCTTCGTGGAGCAGACATCGCGATTGAGACAGACATGCTGCTGTCTCTGCTCCAGAGTCCTGTGGCAGACCCTGGGAGTGAGGCCCTGGCCAGGAAGGTGTCCTGCAAACCGTCTCTGCGCCGGCCCTGGGAGGTGAGTGCAGTGCACTGGGCGTGGTCTCAGGATGCATGCACAGGTGTGGCCTCCTCAAGGCCATCTGGCTGAGGGGGTCTGTGGGGACCGGGAGCCAGCTACACTCTGCTGGGGACACCTTTTCCTAATTTGCACAGAGGGGTTCTAAGGGCTAGTGATGGCCGTGTCTAGACCCCTGAGAAGGGCATTCCTTCTCTTAAATGTGTGGGATGGAGCAGAGCCCTGTCCTGCAGAGGGAGACAGCGCTCCCAGGTTTCCACACCGTGGGCATCAATGCCATTACCCTGCCATCCTGTCCATTCCCTAACATGGGAACCAGCCATGGGTTAGTGAGGGGCTCTTGGCTGAACCCATAGAGCCACCCTGTTCTCCATGTGGCCCCAGGGTAAGTGAAGGCCGGAGCTACCTTTTTCTGGCAGAGTCTCCCTTGCTCAGGGTTTTCCTTTAGATGTAGCTGGTGTTAGGAATGGCATAGAAGAGGGCCTCTTAGGGCAGGGTGGGATGTGAATCCTGACATTGATGGAGAGTGCTGAGGAGAGGGAAGGTGTAGAGGATGGCACAGACCAGAACTGTCCCCGCTGATTCACCCCTGTGTCTTCAGGTTCCCCATCCCCAGGTCAGTGAGGAGGTCAACCAGGAGCTAACAGACAGTGGTGAGTCAAGAGTGCCACAGCTGGAACCAGATATTCACAACGGAGGAGGAAGTGGAGTCAAGTCATACCTTTTGCCCAGGCCCCCACCCTCTCCCCAGGCCTGCCACGAATCAGGAGCTGGTGTGCTCCTTTCCTGGCACCCAGCTCCATGTTCCAGAAATGCCCATGCCCTTGGGGGTCCTGGCCCCGCTTTCCCTTCAGGTCTGTGCTCTCGCAAGGCCAGCTCCCCCCTTGCTGGCCTAGAGGGTAGAGCATTGGCTTTCACCTGGCTGCACATTAGAATTACTTGGGGAATGAAAAAATATATATATTGTTGCTTGGGCTACCTATTAAATCAGAATCTCGGGGAGGAGGTGGCCTGGCAGTGATGTTTTGTTTGTTTGTTTGTTTGTTTTGGAAATTGTTGCTTTTAATTCTAATACATCTCTGGGTAGAGCAGGAAGAAGTGGGTCTCAGGAGGAGTTCAGATCATAGAGATCCTCCACAAATTCCTTTCAACGTTCATTTACTTACTTTGTGCCAAGTACGCCTCTGAAAGGTCTTACCTACATAACTTGATCTCACAATGATAGTATGAGGTGGACCTTGCATCTCCTTTATGGATTAGGACCTGGGAGTTCAAAGAGGCAGAGATTGACTAAGGTCACATGCCAGGGATGGGTCAGAATTTGCACCCCAGTCTCTTTCTGCCTCATCCTTATGGGAAGAACTACCAGACTCAGTTCTCTAGGATAGTGGAGCCTGCAGAGAGATCTGTGCAGAAGGCAGGGGGATGGCCAAAATGACGTCTAGACAGGTCAGAGGTCCTTTTTGCAACCCCATCTCTCTCCCAACAGACTCAGGAGACTACTTAAAGCAGCTTCTGCAGCTCTCAGACAGTGAGAGCCTGGTGCCAAGCGATGAGGAGCTGCGCGTCTATGAGAACAAGGTCACACCCCTCCACTTCCTGGTGGCACAGGGCAGCGTGGAGCAGGTGAGGCTGCTGCTGGCTCACGAGGTCGACGTGGACTGCCAAACAGCCTGCGGCTACACAGCCCTCCTCATCGCCGCCCAGGACCAGCAGCCGGACCTCTGCGCTCTGCTCCTGGAGCATGGCGCCGACGCCAATCTGGCAGATGAGGATGGCTGGGCCCCACTGCACTTTGCAGCTCAGAATGGGGATGACCGCACCGCCCGTCTGCTCCTTGACCATGGAGCCTGTGTGGATGCCCAGGAGCATGAGGGGTGGACCCCACTCCACCTGGCTGCGCAGAACAACTTTGAGAATGTGGCACGGCTTCTGGTCTCCCGTCAAGCTGACCCCAACCTGTGTGAGGCTGAAGGCAAGACCCCTCTCCACGTGGCTGCCTACTTTGGCCACTTCAGCTTGGTCAAGCTGCTGACAGGCCAAGGGGCGGAGTTAGATGCTCACCAGAGAAACCTGAGGACACCACTGCACCTGGCGGTGGAACGAGGCAAAGTGAGGGCCGTCCAACACCTGCTGAAGAATGGGGCAGCCCCTGATGCCCTTGACCAGAATGGCTACAGCCCACTACACACCGCAGCTGCCTGGGGCAGGTACCTTATCTGTAAGATGCTGCTCAGGTATGGGGCCAGCCTCGAGCTGCCCACCCAGCAGGGCTGGACACCCCTGCATCTAGCAGCCTACAAGGGCCACCTGGAGATTGTCCACCTGCTGGCTGAGAGCCACGCAGACTTAGAGGCTCCCGGAAGCATGAGCTGGACTCCCCTGCACCTGGCTGCCCGCCATGGGGAGGAGGTGATGGTGGCAGCACTGCTGCAATGTGGGGCTGACGCCAATGCTGCCGAGCAGTCAGGCTGGACACCCCTCCACCTGGCCGTGCAGAGGGGTGCCTTCCTGAGCGTCATCAACCTCCTGGAGCACCGCGCAGATGTCCATGTCCGCAACAAGGTGGGCTGGACACCTGCCCATCTGGCAGCCCTCAAGGGCAACATGGCCATCCTCAAAGTGCTGGTCAAAGCTGGTGCCCAGCTGGACATCCAAGATGGAGTTGGCTGTACACCCCTGCAGCTGGCCCTCCGGAGCCAAAAGCAGAGCATCGTGGCCTTCCTAGAGGGCAAGGAGCCCTCACTGGCCATTCTGGGCAGTGCTGAGCCTGGAGACCAGACGGAAGTGTAGACAACCTGGGGTCTCCTTACCAGAAGGAAAAGGGGTTGGTGGAAATGAACTGGGCTTCAGGCAGCCCCTTCCCTGTGCTTGCCACCTGCCCCTTCATCCTTGAGAGGAAATAGGAAACTTGCTTCCTGGGTGATGGAGGACAGGGAGAGGTATGCTGAGGTTCTAGCTGGGGCAAGTACCCAGCTTAGAAAGCTCCAAGCGCATCTCTAGCAGACCCCTGGCCGCCTCCTCTTGCTGTACCTGGACTCAAGCCCCCAAAGTGAATTCCCTCTTCATTCCCAAGACGCCTGCCACCTTTTGCCACTTGCCCTTGGGCTCCAAGGAACCATCTGCAGACAAAAGGAGGCACAGAGGAGACAGAAGTGTGCCCTCCCAGCTCAGGTCTGTGTGCTTGGCCCCTTACCTGGGTAGGGCTGGGAGAGCCAGACACCTGTGCTTTGTGCAAAGGGCAGGAGCTAAAGGTTCAAAGGCAATCCTACTTACCATGTAAAGCCCCAGTCAGCCTCCTGTTGTTATACTGACCACACCTTCCTGGTGGTCCTGGTCCCTTTGCCTGGGTCTCCCGCACAGTCTCTGGGGCTGAAGGAAGGGTGTGCTCCAAATGCCCATGAGTGAGCCTATTGGGACATGGTCCCTGGTCTCCCTACCCCACCCTTTGCTACGTCCAGTTACATGGCGAGGTTTCAAACCCTGAAGTCAATAAAGCTATGGATTTGAGTCTCCCCTTTAGAGATGGACTGGCCTGTGTGGCTGGGTTACATATAGGGGCCAATAATGTTAGTATGGTGTGGTGTGGTGTGTGTGTGTGTGTGTGTGTGTGTGTGTGTTGTATGTGTGTGCATGTGTGATACCTGTGTGTGTGTGTGAGATACGTGTGTGTGTTATGTGTGTGGGGTGAGTGTGTGCGTGTATGTGTGTGAGAGAGATACGTGTGTGTGAGATACGTGTGTGTGAGTTCACACAGGGGAAGGAGGCAGGGGCAGAGTTGGGCAGGGTGGTGAGAGTGAGGGGGGTCATCTGGGCTCCATGTAGTATTTGCAGGGCAGGGCCTTTTCTCTCCAGCAGCAGCTCATGGGGCGCGCTCTCCTGTGACCACACCCTGGCTACCCATCGGCTGGCCTGGCCTGCTGTTTGTGGGCAGGTTGGGACGGGGCTGGGGCTGCTCCTATTAACCCCACGTGACTGGGCCCTGGCTCAGCGGCCAGCCAGCATCTTCGTCCTCTCTGGCTCTGCCAGGGTTGCCAAGCAATAGAAGAGGGTGAGGCGGGGCTGTGGGCCGGGGCACGATGGATAGTCTGGGGGTCCTGTCCTGCTCCTCTCTATCCTTCCACACTACCGGAACAGCCCCTCTAACTCAAGGATGTTTTGTAATTGTCACAGAAAAGGACTATTCTGCCCCAACTAATGGCCAGCTCCAAATTCAGCCAGTTGGCAGGCCCACCGTTGTGTGCCTTCCTCCTGGGCTGGGTGCAGGGCTACCAGTCAGCAGCCTCATATCACTGTGGGATGAGAGGGGAGGAGCAGAGGCAACCTGCCACTTTGTGGTGCCGGCCTCATGAGCCCTGGACAATTCACCCCACCATGCCACAGCCTATGGCCTGCACAGAGAGCAGCCCTGAGCTGGGCTGTGCCCCAGAGCAACAGCTGTAAATCAAGTCTGCACATTAGAATCTCCTGAGTGAGGAGTGTGGGGGGTGAGGGACAGATGGAGGGGCTTATTAAATACCTACCTGGCCCTACCACTAACCAATTAATCCAGAATCTCTGGGGTGGCATCCTGGCGTTAGCTGGAGAGCAGCCATGGCTGAGAACAACCACCAGGGGACGTCAGGTGGTGTTTCTCTGTGCCCTTCCTACATGTACTCATAAAGACAGTCGTTGGCCAGCAGCCCAAGCTGGCGGCCTTTTTCTCTTCCGTTGGATGAGTGGGGATTCCTGAGGACTGGGGCAGGGAGCACTCAGTAGACTGTCCCGTCCTCCGACTTTCCTGTAAGCTGCCTGGCCCATTCTCCTTGTTGTCCCTGAGACTGAGCCTTAGGCAAGACTTGGAGTTAAAAGCACTCCTGGGGGTTCTGTCTTCCCTAGAACACACTGGAGTGGAAGATGGGGGGGGGGCGCACAGTGCTGTTTTCTTCTTGCACCCTGAGGTCTGGGATTCTGCACGAGCTAGAGAAGGGAATATGGGCTACATGTTCACAGCTGGTAAGCTCAAAATCAACCCATGGGAATGGTCAGGACTGAACTACAGGGGTCACTGTGGTCTGACTTATTCTGTTGGAAAGAGTCTGAGGAAAGACCTTGAAGAAAGGAGTTAGCAAAGGTAAATGATCCTTTTACATCGATTGTCCTATGAATGGTAGGGATCCCATAGAGATGCAGTCATTTTGATCCTGAGGTCCAGGCTGAGATCCTAAGACCCTCGCTTCCTCTACTTCCTCAGAGGTAACTTGAGGTAGGGGTTTCGGGCCAACATAGCCCCTTCATTGTGTACTAGCACCTTCTCCCTTCTCAAGCCATCCCTTTCCAGACACAGGCCCATATAGACACACAGCATCTGCCTTGATCCCATTTCAACACAGCTGCCTTCTAGTGGTCTCCTAGGGATGTTTAGAATGGGATTTTAGGGAGGCCCTTGAAATTCCCAAGGAAAGGGTATCTAGTTGAATTTCAAACCCTGTTTAGGGGAGATTGGGGTGGAGGAGGATAGGAATTCCTCAATTTCCTACTGGGCATTTCCACTTGGGCATTTCCTATTGACCTTTTCAGCTCAACGTGTCCCAAACTGAGCGAGCATTCCCTTCCCCTCCACAAGCTTGCTCCTCACCCTTCCCCACCCAATTTGAGTGGAAGGCACCCAAACCCCTAACATAGGAGTCATTCTAGACTAGCCTGTCCAACAGAACTTTCAGAGAGGGTTGAAACCTTCTCCATCCGCAACTGTTCAAAAGGACGGCCACCAGGTCCATGTGCTATTGAGCACTTAGAATGTGGCTAGTGCCACCGAAGAACCAAAGTTTTAATTTCAGTAAGTTAAATTTAAGCAGCCCCATGTGGCTAGTGGACAGTGCAGTCTGTACTCTTCAAGACCCAGCTTGCCTGCCCCTGCCCCCGCCCCTGAAGCCTCCTCTGATTGCTCAGCTGGAGATGGGCACCCTGTACCAACACCCGCTGCAGCGAGGTTCAGAAAGCCCCTGCCTTGCTTAGGGTGAGCTTCCTCACTGCCTTGGCTGATTTCTGCATTCCATGCAGCTCTCCCTCAGCATGCCCTCCAAGCTTGCTGAACTAAGTTATGGCAGCAGGGGGCCAGCCAAGTGGCGCGATGGTTAAGAACTGGCTTGGGACACCAGAGGACCCCGGTTCGGATCCCACATGTGAGGGCCAGTGACACTGCCCTCTACAGCTAAGATGCTGAACAACAGCTCAACCTGCAGCTGGGCTGCCGTGAGTCGCCGGCGACGGCGTAGGCTGCAGCCCCTGCTGCAGTGGGTTGCCATGGGCTACCATATGTAGCCAGCAGCCAGCGTGAGCGGCCAGCAGCCAGCTTGAGCGGCCAGCAGCTGCAGTGAGCGGCCATCCAGAAGTCAGCAACTGATCTGCCTCACCTGGGAAGAGCGCAATGATGGTGCCAACTTGGGCCAGTGAAGCAGCAACCTCCACAACAAGACTGAAGAACAAAAGGACAGCAACTTGTCTGTTCCCCTTCCCCCAATTACCCAGCGCTGTTCCCATCCCCCAATTCCCCAATAAAAATCTTAAAAAAAAAAATTATGGCTGCAGGGTTGTTGCTGTAACATAGGGACAGAGGATAGTTGCCAGCTTGGGCTGAGGCAGGGGAGGGAAGCTCTGGGGGGCTGTGTAGCGGAAAGACACGGGCTTTGAAGCAGGGCAGACCTGGGTGCAAATCCTGCTGTGCCATCCACTAGGATGTGACCTTAGCTGCTGCACCTTTCTGAGCCTTGGCTGCATCATCTCACAGCCATAATGCTTATTCTCACTGGCTAGTGGTAATAATTGAGTCAGATACCTTGTGTGTCAAAGGGCAAAGCAGTGAGTAAACATTCAACACATTCGTTTCTTATAGCTTCTCCCAAGTCAGGGGAATTTTTCTCTCGGAAGGGGGCACAGACAAGCCAGCTTTTTGGGACCCTTTTGACAGGATGCGCATAGAAGCCACTGCCAATTTTCCTTTGCCAGTCTATCCAGGGGAGGCAGGGGCGGCTCTCCTGCAGTGCCTTAGTGTGGGCTGTGACACCAACACCCTTTCAAACATGCCTAAAATAGTGTCAGGTCAGCAGTAGGGCTGGGTCAAGCCCCACTAGTGGGTCGTGCCCACTGACACACAGCTGCGATAGCCATCGGGATTGGAGTACCCCAAGCCCCAAGAGCCAGACAGTGGGGTCAATTTCAGCAACGCCAGGTGGCCATGTCTGCATCCCCCAGGGGAAGGAATGGTCCAGGGCTGATGTGGACTCTGCTCTACCGCCAGATGGGCAAAGGCAGTGTGAGGGCTCAGCCTGCACAGAGAGGAGGGCGGGAGGATGAATATCGCAACTGTGGGAAGGAAGGCGGAGGGAGGCCGGCGAGGAGGGGAGGGACCTGAGGCTGGGTGGGGAACAGGGCCAGGGCCAGTTTTCTGCTGTGCTTTTCGCTCAGGCTCTAGATGGCAAAGCAGCACCTGCTGTGGCGCTTGTCTCCTCAGGCCATTTCCTCCCTCTCTTGCCTACTCCAGCCTTTCCCTGCCCTGGTCACAGTGTGGAGCCTGGCTGCTGTAGACGACACTCTCATGGAGCCAACAGGACAGTGTCTGGGGTTGGGTCTGGTTAGGAAAACCCAGGTGTGCCTGCCGGAGCTCTTTTCCTGCAGACGCCCCAGCCCCTCCCCATACCCCAAGTGGCGCCACCTCCCTCCCCTTGCCTAACCCCCACCCTTCACTTCACCCACAGCATCTGCCCCTAAGGTGCCCGGGAAGCTGCCTCCCCTGCTCCAGCCTCACACGCATCTCCAGGTCACAGGACAGAAGCCAAGGGGAAGGTTGGAAGACAGTTCAAGCAAGTGCAGTGGTCCCACAGCATTTCCTCCCCCACCCCCACCCCCAGAACCAGAGCCAAGGGCCCCTGGTTGGCAAGAGGAGACCGTCGGGCACAGGATACCCAGATTCTGGCCTCCTATTACTGAAACTGCACTAAAAACAGCAACCCCTGATCT